GATCTTTCGAGGTCCCTTCCAACCCCTAAGATTCTATGATTCTATGAAGACAGTGAGAGCTGGAGAAAAACACACCCCAGCGAGCCGTGCTGGCAAGACGGGCCTGCAGGGCAGGGAGGCCGACATGCCACGGGCACGGCCCTGAGTGCCGGGCGGGCACCACCGGCCAGGCTGAGGTGTGAAGGCACTAACCAGCCCCTCACCGTGCCAGGAGCGCGCTGCGGGTCGTGCCCGCAGCCTCGGTGGGCCCCGGGTAGCAAAGAGCCCCTTCCGCCCTTCCAGCCCGCGTGGTGACGGCTTTAAGCGCTGTCACTTCGAAGGAAGGCGAAGCACCAGTTAACCAGTCACGGGTGCGAGTGACAGGTGATCATCAGAGGTGACTTCACACCGTCCCGCATGTGCAAGCAGCCCCCAGGTTTCGGGAAGGCAAGTTGGCTTCGTGTAACACCCCCCCAGCTCCCACCGGCCTGGTTTTTACTCGATTCTCATCTCCGCCTCTGCTCTGCCCTGGTGAGGCCACATCTGGGGCGCTGCGTCCAGTCCCGGGCTCCCTGGTTCACAGAGGACAAGGAGCTGCTGGACAGAGTCCAGCGCAGAGCCACTGAGATGCTGAGGGGACAGGAGCATCTGCCCCATGAGGAAAGGCTGAGAGAGCTGGGTCTGTTCGGCCTGGAGGAGACTCGAGCGGCCATCTCATCAGTGCTTACAGCTGCCTAAAGGATGGGTGTCAGGAGGGTGGGATCAGACTCTGCCCGGTGGTGTCCTGTGACAGGACAGGGAGCAATGGGCACAAGCTGGAGCACAGCAGGTTCAAGCTAAACATAAGGAAAAACTTCACTGTGAGAGTAACAGAGCACTGGAACAGGCTGCCCAGAGAGGTTGTGCAGTCTGGAGACATTCAACACCTATCCGGACATGTTCCTGCATAATCCACAGTAGGTGATCCTGCCCTAGGCAGGGGTGATTGGACTAGGTGATCTTCAGAGGTCCCTTCCAACCATGACCATTCTGTGATCATAACAAATAGGTAACATCCTTTTTGCCCCGTACTAAAGCCATAAATAATGAAGGAGGGGAAGAAAGGGGTATAACATTTCAGAACCTTCCCTTTCTAGCCAGCATATCTTTTTGAGATAAGAGGAACCTCCATATGTCAGCACCACTATAACCTTACTATAACAAAAAACCTTCTCAAGACTTAACTCCCCCCATCTGTACTGCTTTAGAGACAACACCTGCACACAAGGCAGAGTAAGTGATGTTTATCTGAAAAGCACAAGAACTGAGCTGTGCAACAGGAAAGGATGTTCTAGCCAGTTGGCCTAAAATTTTGGTTTACACAGATGTGCACAGATTAATGACTAATAAGCAAATGCATCTTCGTGTCTGGGCTAAACATGAAACACTTCAAAGCCCTTTAATTAATATGTCTTAACTTGCAGTAAACTCGCCTCCTAGACACAGCTTCTCCTTACAAACTCAAGGAATGCATATGCTTCACAGTCCTAATATTAAAATTAAAAACATACACATCAGTCAGGGTCCGTGTGCTGTTTCAAAAAAATGGTCTTGTAGGATAAGAGGTCCTTCAAGTCAGACAAGCTTGGCATAGGCAATTTTCTTTGACACTGAAATTCCACATACACTCTTCAGCTCTAATTTGGTTTTTGCTTCAAATTTCCTCCCTTAGCCCCTCAGCTCATGCAGGGGCACTGAACCACCTATGTCCCCAAGCACTTCTCCCAGCTTCTGGTTTTGCTGACTGCAGGCTGCCCATGTGGCTGTGAGAGCATTTTTAAACTGGCTGTGGTTTACCTGTTAAACCCAGGAATTAGCATTGGTAAATACAGGCAGGTTAACAGACCAGCCTAAAGGTAAGCAGGTCACGTCACTGCACAGTCTAGGTGAAGACATTTAGCTGCAGGAATAGAGTTATTTATACTTGGCATTTCTATAACAAAAAGCCTGCCTGGATGTGTAATTCTTTTCTCTTTGAGGACAGTTGTTCTACCAGAAACTCCTGAGTAAGTGGAGGGATTATAACACCATTGGCTAGAGAGAAGACTTGAGAGGCTGAGGCTTAGGAAACTGGAGAGATAGCTAAGCTGCAGGCTGGGCACAGGGTCCATGGAGGTTGGTGGGAAACACCTGTCAGGTGAGGCTCCAGCTTGAGAATTCATGCTTAGGCCAGCATCTGATGCTTGAGGTGGCAGCTTTGTTAGGCAGAGCCTCTTAGGCAAGCCTGTTGCCACATTTCTTTGGAAATGCCATTTTTGTGTGGGTGAGATGGCACCAAATGCTTTGCCAGTTCCCTTGTGCCAGAAAAGAGAAGCAGAGAGTGGGGGCAGCCTGGCCTCAGCCCCTGTGCAGCACACATGACCTGCCCTGTGCAATGGGTTTGACAGAGCATTGCCTGATCCCTTCAGTAGAGAAAACCACAGTGTTAGCAAGGCCACTCTCTGGAGACTTGGGTTTCCTTATTGCCTGTGTTAGACCTGGGAATGACCCAGATTCTGCACTGATCTCATTTGTCCTTGATCAGTGCTTCATTTCTGTTGGCAAATGCACCTTTTTACACTCTCTGGGATCCTTAAGTTTTTCTTAGCTCAACAGCTAAATCATAGCACGGAAGTTTTACAACAGAGTTAAGTACAGGTTTGGTTATGAAAACAGGAGTGGTGCTACTGATCTGACCTGTAATTTTATCAGAGATCAACTTAAATCCACTGACTCCAGTGATAACAATGCTTGGGCTTTCATCGGGGGGTTTTTGTGCTAATGTGACTAAAGAGTTGCACCTCTGTTAGGGATAGAATATGCCCACTGGCTTTTGTATTTTAAATGAAAGCCTCGGAAAAGACTGCCTGCGTTCAGCTGATAAACACAGGCACTGTATTTTTGTCATTTATCTTACTTACCCAGAGCTGCAATAAATAGCAACAAAAATAGCAAAGAAAAAAAACACAACCTGTTAAAATTGAGGATATTCAGTTTTGAGATACATTTGTTTTCCCTACCAGTGTCAGAAAGCAGCTTCACTTTGAAGTGAACTAGCAGCATGTCTTGTCCCCTCTGCAATTGTAACAGGTATCCTGTCTTTTAAAAACATTAAAAAGTGCTGTCTTTTAAAAACATTTCTTCCTTATTACACTTCCTAATACTCACAAAGTTGCAACCAGCAATTTAATCTGCAAATAGATGTGTTGGTGCAGTTCCTCCCCCCTGCCCAGACTGCACTGTGGTGCCAACACCAACATTGTTCTTCCTTTAGTTACAATGGCAGCAGACCCAACATTGTTCTTGCTTTAATTGCAAGTTAAGGTGGACTGGGACAATCTGGTACCTTCCTGTGCTGGTACAAATACAGTGAGTTGGGATGCTAAGGCAATCCCTAACTCTACCTGAACTCCAATTGCCTGCTAAATATACCTGAGACCCCTTCCTGCTTGGATCACAAGCCTACTCTGGAAGATACCAAAATCACCTAACAGAAGTTGTGGCCAAAACAAAATGGAAAAGTTCTGACCAAATTTAATTATCTTGGACTCTATAAATAGAAGTCCTAAGCAAGACCCTTTGGGACCTGCTGGATCACAGCGGGCTGTGACCAGCATGTCCTCTGAGTTGGGACCTTTCAGGTATAGACTCCTTGAGGTTTAAAGACTGTCAACAAAGCTAACGAAGGGCCAAGGCAAAGTCAGACTTCTTGAAGTTAAATTATTGCCTACTGGGGAATGCAGATGCATTGTGGCTACTTACTTCAAGCTTGAGAAGAAGGAAATTTTAACTACAGGCTAGCCTCTTCCATCCACCTCTCCAACTATCTATGTGTTTGAATATACATATTTGCCTTCACAAGAATGGGTGTCTACATTTCACTGGATCCAGATATCTTTGTGTGGGTTTGCATGTTTTGTGTTTATACATACGTTTGTTTTTTTTTTATTTAGGATGTCGTGTAGTAAATTAGTGTGAATCTTGTCATTCTCAAATCTGTAATTAGATTGTTGTTTTAATTATGACATATTCTACATAATCACCTTCTTAAACTTTAATCGGTTAATGATTAAGTGCTGCTAAAATTCAACCTTTAGATCCACCTCACCCCATTAATAAATGTTCAATTGCTGCTAAATCATAACCATGTCAAATATTTCATCTGTGACAATGGACAAGCACACGTTCTTAATTTTTCTTCCCCATCTCTATATATTTTTTAATCCTTGTTTTATCATAATCTTTCCATCTATTTTCAAGTAATAACTGTATGTAGAACAGCAAGACTAGAATAGCCCATCCATCTCAGTCAGTGTACATATCATATATCATGTAATTATATGGTTTGGGTTGGAAGGGAGCTTAAAGATCATCTAGTTCCAACCCCCCTGCATGGGCAGGGACATCTCCCACTAGACCAGGTTGGTCAAAGCCCCATCCAACCTGCCCTTGAACACCTCCAGGGAGGGGGCAAAGAGAGACTTTCAGACTTGAAGAGCTGATTTCTGAGCCCAAAATTCATGCAGAGATCTAAAACCTTTTAACAAAGAATCTGGCAAAACTCCAGAAGCGATGCCATGACTCATGTCAGCAGTTGATACAAGGATCTCAAGTTAGTATCTGAGAAAGCAAGTGGGAGATGGCAGCGGTGGCCTTGTGGCTCTGTGTTCCCAGGCCTACTGATGGCCCGAGGCCATCAGGGGAAGCAGGAACCTGGTAGAGGTGGCCCTGACTTCCTTGTTTGAGCATGCCTGTGCTGAGGGAGGCGTGGGACGTGGTACTGTCTGGACACTCCACGTTGTCTTGTGACGCTTAGCACCTCCTACCTCTGTCTCTGCCTTGCCTTCCTGCCCTGCCTGTCAGTGTGAGTGACAGTCCCCAGCGGGCAAGTGGCATATAAGAGGAAGACAGCTCCATGCCTTGGACTACCAGAAGGATTTCTGAGCTCCACGTTCCATTTTCCCTGCTCCGTATATTTGCTAGGAGAAGGACTTCTTCCTGGCATGGCTAATGGGTAAGAGAAATCATGGTCATTCTTCTCTAAGGGCAGTGGTGATGGGATGTATTTGTCTGGGAGACAGGTAAAAGGGAGTTCTGTGAAATGCAGCACTGCACAATAACCCTGCTTCCTCTTTCTATTCTGTTTTCCTATCTAACCTCAGTGTAAACCGTTGGTGAGACAACTGAATCATAAGCTGTTTTAGCTAAAATAAGGTGATGCCAAGATCTGTTTTTGCTGAAACATAGGTGATAACCTAGAATTGGTTCTTCCAACATTACTGGGATGCCCAGGACCTCAATAGTGTATTTACCAAGTAACTGCCCACTTTTGTTTGTTCCTTGACAATACATTTTCCATTCCATCTACAAAACCTGTCTTATTTATCCTTTGGTATTTCAAATACCAACTTTAAACTAAGAAAACATCACTGGACTCAAATAAAAGGTATACACACTGGCATAAGAGGAAAATCAAGATAATTGTTTGTATCTTCTATTAACCATATAAGCTGATGCATATATTTCCCAACATTTGAACTAATTTTTAAAAATTATTGGAAATTCCTTGTAAAGTGCTGCTCATCCAGCTTTCCAAATGCTTTTCTTCTCTGTGTCAATATTAAAGGATTTTTTTTTAAAAATGATGTTGTTCAAAGGATCTCTGAAGATAAATTTACTTCAGAGAAGATTTCAATCAAACCTTTGCAGGGCTCCTTCTCACCCATTTGCAATACGTGTTTTTCTTGCTTTGACACTGTTACTTGCTCACATGATTCACCACCTACCCTTTAATTCTCTTCACGTCTTGAGTAATTCTGATTTATGGCAATAAAAGTCTTCTTCTTGGGGCATTGTTTTGGATAGAATGAAGGTTTCATAGAATAAAATAACCCAGAAAAACAGGCACACCATGTGAATCTTTCACTTGGAAGTTACAATGAAATGGAGAAGTTAGGTTCTTTTGCTCTAGCTGCACTGCTGATGCATTAGAGTTACTATTGCAAAGAGCCTCCCCAAAAAACTTCCTCAGCTCTTACAAGTGCAGACTAAGTCTTCTTCTTATTGGGGTAGTGCTTTGTGCACGTAAGCACATCCAAGCAGAAGTCCAACTGGACAAAATCCAATTGGCCAGACTTCCTGCACAGAAATAATTTATTCTATGTGAAAGCACAAATCTAACAACTGAAAGATTTCACCATAGGGAGGGGATTAAGAATTAATGATAAAAATCTCTGGTTTGAGTCACACATGCAGCCATATTAAAAAACAGAGAGCACACAATGCTCTTTGGCAGGAAAACTTTACCTGACTACTGTCATGGATTTGCATGAGGGTGCTGGGCTTCTTCTCTTTGAAGTTGTCTCACCTCACATGTGTAAGCTAGGTTTATGGGCCTTTTCTAAATAAATACTGTCCAGAAGGAGTTTTTACAAGATGACTGTCTAAGTTGCTGAACAAGTTCTTTGCTTTGGCAGGGATATATTTTCCTTTATCCAAACCTTCAGTTACAACCTGCACAGGTGCTCTGCTCTGTTTGGAAACTAAAGGGGCAATAAAAAGGAGAGAAAAAGTCCACGACGACATTGTGGTAGCACCCAGCAGAGAAAAAAGAGATAAAAAACTTTTAGTTTATAAAATTAAGTGACTTCAGAGTTTTGGGACACATTTCCTGACTGCAGGAGTTCATTTAATACTAGTATGTTTATTAAATAGATATGCACATTGAAATCTGTAGGCACCCTCTTCTGAGTAGACACTTGGAGCTTGCCTCATGGCGAGGATGAGCTTATGCAACACTCAGTAACAGTTCTAGACAAAGAAACAGAAGCCTACAGTTCTTTATAAACACAAGACAAATGGTCCAAAAGCAGAAAAGAACAAGCAGTAGTATTGAAGAAATTACTGATTTCCTGTATAGGTGACTTTTATCAAAACACTTACCTACTAAAATATATGTATATAAAATACCACATATATGGAATACAAGATTTTTAAAAACAACTCTGGCATCCCCTGTAATACTTCACATACCTTGGATGTTCACCAGACAGCAGACTTCTATCCACCACTTTTTCTTCCAAAGTAAAGACTGTATTTAACATAATGTAGCAGTACTCAAACAGCTGGGATAGGCTGATGCAGAGCAGAAGACAGCAGGAGGGTCCAGACCCAAGAGAAAAGTGATCCAATAAAATGAGGTCAGTCCATGGTAACATATATGTAGATGGTGCTTTAAGTTCAAAAAACAACTACTGTGAATTTGTTGATCCTGTTCTTGGGACTTCAGCTGAGCAGGTGAGATGAACATTTTTGTTTAGCGTTGATTTATAAGCTTCTTTGAGAAAGAATTGTTCTTTGACACCCAATCAAGCCCAGTTGAAAATTCAAGTGATCTTGTAGATTTCCCATCAATAATGATCTCAAAGTATCACAGAGCCCGAGCAAAAAGGAGACTGCCAGTGCCTCCAGCTGAGGTAGCTGATGGCTCAGGTTCCCAGCTGCAGGCTGACTGCGGTGTGGCAGCCTAAGGAGTTTGGTTGTCTGCCCTGCCCTTCCGGAGGAGGCTGCTTTTCCCACTCTAAATAATGCTGAGTATAATATGAATATCCTCTGTTCTTTATGCTTCTCAGCTGCTGCAGCTTATCCTCCAGTGCATTAATGTAAACTGGCTGCTTTTTGCTCTTAACTCAGAATTCCTTTGGACAACAAACTCTCAAGGAGTTAAGCACAGTTTGCTTATGTTTTTCAGGATCCCAAAGTTACACAGGCAATTCTAGAGAATAAAGAATTGTTCATTCATGTGAAAATAAGCTACCAGTTCTCCCAGCACAGTTTGCTACTTTCTGTTTCCTTCAATATGGAGCTTAGACCAGCAGTTTCTGAGCCAGCCATCAAGTACAGCCCAGGACAGAAAGCATGTAAAATCTTTCTGTACAGCTTCTAATTTCCCACCATTTAATTAATGTCCTCTTTTCTGCTATGGCTTCTATTCCTACCCTCCCAGGTGAAACAAAGAAAGTTCATCCAACAGTCTAAGTACTGTTAAGTCAGTGTTTTTTATTCACGGCGCCGGATGCACAGGGAATAGCTCCTCCAAAAATGTGCACCTTACAGTGTAAGGTGAGAGATATATATACAGCTGATACTTAATTATGTGTAATATTTCTAATAAACAGTTTACATATTCATTAGCTTCCCAAGAAATCATTTACATAAGTGTCTGCCCATTACCATTAGTGTTAAGTCCATTAGGCTCTCCTGGGGGTCCTTCATTCTTGAGTCTTCCTCACAGGAACTTTTGACTGAGTTCTGTCTCTTCTCCTATCTCTGCTGACTCCGAAGTAGCACTGGTTACAGAAGGCATCCTTAGTCTCAGGCTTCTTTCCTCTTCAAGGATCCCTGTATTCCTTCCCTAAAACTACAGATAAGCTCACACAAAAGGCTTAAGACTCACTAGTCTATTTGAAGTCAGAGTTTGGTTAATGCTGTGTTTCACAGGTGCCCAGCTGGCTCACATTTTGCTCATTTGGGCTCTCAAGCTGCCTCACATCAAGGCTGCCAAGTCAGAAGACTGTGTGATCTTACCTCAATATTTGTTTGCTCTTTCTGATAGAGAGCATGGAATTTGCCCCTGGCTGGAGGATGCAGCAAGTATATCCATGCTGGCCAGAATTAGAAGACATAACAGTAATGAGTTCAGAGGTTCAGAGTTGGGCTTGAAGATGCCTTGATTCAGTCTAGGAGAACTAGTTGTTAAAATCATGGCAAGTTGCTCAAATGGCTGTTTGAAAGAAATGCCCATTGTTGACAATTTATTCACTTTTTTTTGCTTTTCTTGAGAGTATCTGCTTTGGAGGAGAAATTAAAACTTATCAAGCAGTTCTTCTCTGTGCTTCAATGTATGTGCTGGTTTCTAACTGATTAATTCAACTGCCAGTTATTTAAAGGTTAATCCACTTTTCTTCCTTCTCCAGTCTTTGTCATGATCTTATGCCTTAGTGTGTACATAATGCCCTTGAAACTGGAGCAACCTTTGGGTGGTTCATCACAGTAACAACCCTTCCTAAATCTTGTTGATAGATGCATTGATAGACTTCTAAAAACTACTCACTATTATGCAGGACAAAATTCCATTTAAATGAGGAAAGGTCCAGCCTGGGTAGGTTTCTAGGTCCATCAGAGACCAGTGCATGAGATAATTTTATTGTGTGCAGACCCTGTATTTACAGTCTTATGCATCCTTTATCATGCTAACTTTATGCTAGGATAACCATATGAGTGAAGGAAAGCAACTCTAGTGTGGAATCTTGCAGAAAGAAAGCTAGGAAGAGTTGTATGTAGGATTGCTGCCAGAAAAGCGTCATAGAGATAATTCTTTGTGTCCTGTTTTGTTGTGTAGTGTTGCTGCATGCTGATAACAATCTCCTGCTTGCCTCTGGTTTGTACATGGAGTCCTCCTGAATGAAACACCACCATCTTAATTTTTATTTCAGTGCATGGAAAGCCACAGGAAGGCTTATTAACAAGAACTTTGTTAAAATATACTCTAAAATAACCTTAGGGAAGGCTTAAGTTTCCTTAAAGGTTACCTGCAAGCTTTAGGTATGAACATGAACCACAAGGTCTGTGATTTTTAGAGCAGCATGGGCAGGAGGTATGGGGGGGAAGAGAAAGCTTTCCTGATGACAAGTGAGCATTCAGAACACAGAGTGACAGGTAAGACCCTAGAAGTGACTTGCAGAAATAACAGCATGTGTCTTTTTTAATGTGTGTTCCTCTGGATTTCTTGACAGGAAGGACTTAAATCATGAACTTTCTCAACTTTTCAATGAGATGTGGGATATGGATGTTAACCGCCTTATTCCTGGGAAAGACTACACAATTGATTTGCAGGTAACCAGCTGCCAGGTCACATGAGGATTAAGGGTAGTGTGGTACTGTAGGAAGAGGCTTCTGCAAAACTGCCTTTTGCTAAGAGTGCTTTGTCATTTCCACTAGTGACATAGGCAAGACTTTCTAATGATGAAAAACCACTTGGGAAAGGGAACAGTAAAGATAACATGTGAATAGTCCAGACTACCTGGAGACTGGTTACAAGTGGAATCTTGCAGATGTCTGTCTTGGGTCCTGTCATATTTAGTATCTTTATCTGTGGCCTGAAGGAGGAGATGGAGTGCAACCTTTCCAGTTTTGCATATGGCAGCAAACCATGGTGTTGAAGTTGGCATGCTCAAGTGCAGGGCTTCTCTTCAGCTGGACCTAGGCAGGCTAGAGGAACAGGCTAAGGAAGGACCATCATTAAATTCACCAAGGAAAAATGCGACCAGAACAGGATATCTAGAGAAGCTGTGAAATCTCCATCTCTGGAGGTTTTCAAGACCAAACAATATGAGCAATATGGTCTGAATTCAGCATTGACCATACTTTGAGCTGGACTAGAGGTGTCCTAACATCCCCTCCACAATGGATGTTTCTGTGAGTGTATGATTGTGTGTATGGTCTGAGTGACTTGAGGTGAGAGAGAAGGGCAGATAGTAATTCTTGGGAGAATAAGAGGAAGTCTTCTGGAAACTGTGGAGTAGCACGGAGATGTGGGAAAGGAGTGTTACAGGGTTGTTGCTATGACTCCCAGGGAACTGTGAGGGAGGAGTGGGTATCAGATTTGATAAGCAACCATGTCATTCCTTGCTAGCTCAGTGTAGTGCAAACATGACCCTGTGTTTGAGCCACAAATTGCAGCAGGCCACTGAATATTCAGGATCTAATTTTGTACTCACACAAATGCTCAAACACTTTATTTCAATGTTGCTTCATATTATAGGATATCTACCTGTTACCTCAGGACAAAATGTGTACGGGGAAAACTTCTCCCATATGGTTTCTCCATTTCTCAGAAAAAGACTCTAGTTACTCCTTGCCCATGTTAACAAACTGCTACTCATCTTTTCTCTTATTTCCTTGAGAATGCCTTTTTGGAACAGAAACTTGAAAATTGGCAGGAAAGCCTCCTTTCCATTTTAGATGTGCTTATTAGTAACACTGATTAAAACGCCTTTAAACACGGCCAGCCAAAAGTCTTTGACAACTTCAGAGCACCAGGAAGAACAAGTCCAAAGCTGGTGAAGCTGCACAGAACTATCTCAACATCTCTCTGGCACTGGGACAATCACTGTTGCTAGCAGTCATGAAATCAGAAAGAGAAAACAAAGGCTGAGCCTCAGGGAGCCTACACAGGAGCTGCATTGGTTAAGTGTTATCATGGAAGAGACTCACACTTGCTAGCTTGGGGAACAGGGACTCAGGAGAGAAACAACCCCTCTGCTGCACTGCATGGTCTCATAAACTACATGCATCTATGTATGTCTGCGGGTTGCAAGTGAAAAGAGAAGGTGCACAAATCTTTATACTTATTTGTAGTGGGAGCGAGTCTTGTCTCTGCATTACTTCTCTTTCATTTGTGATGTATATAGCGGAGTAGCACAACTGGTTACTGATCAAAACAGAGCTATCACAACCATCTCTGAAAAGGAGAGAGAGAAATTTCATGCTCTTACAGTGTCAGAGATTATGTCTTTTGTCTTCATGCTGGCAGTTCTTCTGTAATGCCTTGTGGTGTTTCGTGGAAGACCATTCCTAACAAAGAATAGCATTACGTGGTTTATTTTGAATATTGTAAAGCCAAGCACTGTTTCCTCTAAGGACATCTTACTTCTTTCATGTTTTCCTCTGCTGTTTCTTCTAGGGAAAAGCTGGTGCCACACAGCAAGGTGCCAGTGCCGTTCAAGACAGCGCACCCAGACATCTCTTTCATAATGTGAATGAAGAACGCCTTAAAAGCATAAAAACTTTTGCAAGTGAGACCCGTTCTTTTGTTATATGGTGGAAATGACACAAAGAATCTGTGTTGATTTCTGTGTTTGCCTAAAATCACACGATTTGTGTGGTGATGGGGATCATCAGGCCGCATGTCATTGGAAGGCAGTTTCTACAACATCTGCATGAAGGTTACCTGTACCCTCAGCCTCAAAAAGAACATCCTTTTGTGCCTTAGCCAAAATATTTATCTGCGGTTCTTCCACTGCTAAATGAAATGAGTGAGACTCTTGTAACTGCTTTGATATTATTCCATGTATTGAAAAAGATGCCAATCATCTTTCCTCCTTTGCTCACAGCTTCTAGCCCTTTCAGATAGCACTAGGTCCATCACTACTTCTTGTATTTCTTTTGGGGCCAATACTTCAAATGTCTATGAACGTATGTTTCCTTCCCTGATATTTCTTTTCCCCAGACAGAGTTAAACAAAGCTGACCAAACAGTCAGCATAATGGGGAGCACCATTTTTCTCTGTTCTTTCCACTCTGCTCTGAGCCACACAATCCTTTATCTGATGAGGGCAGCTCTGGTGATCACTGAACCCTATGCAGAGTCCCTTCAGCTCACTAACCTGGCAGGAAATTACTTCGGTTTTTAACATCAAGTATTTTTCTATCAGCTTTGTGTGCTGAATCAGGCCCTGGCATCCACTGACTGTCAGAGCATGAGCAGATGAAGTAACAGTGGGGAGCAGGTGGCAAAAGGGCTGCAAAAGAAACAATGCCCACAAAGCCTTCTGCCAGCATAGCTGAAGATCATCAGCCTGTGTCTGTAATTTTAGTGATGCTTTGTTTTGGTAGAAGATCATTATTGCTTTAGCACTTGATTCCCTAAGGAAGCTCAGTAGCGAGCTGTTGACCTTAAAAAGAAGTACAGTGGTGGTCTGGCCCTGAGTCACCCCTAGACCTGCACCCACCAATGTACCTAAGAATAAAATTTGACATGTAGAGGACTGACTTTCTCTAAGGGTTGTCAAGGTATATTGTATGGCATCTTTCTATGATGGCTGTCTCTAATGATGACAGGTATGGATTAGGCATATAGCCTGTTCATCAAGATGAGCATACTGGAAGTTCCTCTTTTTCTGCAGCCTTTATTTCCTTACTGGACAACTATGAGACATCAACTGGTATAGAAGAAGTAGTGACTCCAGAAGAAATAGCTGAAAACAACTCTTTTCTTGATGCTATCCTAGGAACAGAAGTCATGAAAGTGAGTAACGTATCTTTTAAAGTCGCTGAAAACACTGAATTAAAAAGTGAATTGTGCATATATCTTGGTTTTCTATCTTTCAGCTGGCTCATGAATATCTGCTTAAAAAAAACCTAGCAAAGACAAACCTTGCTGATTTCAAAAATCAGCTCTATGACATCTGGTTCCAGCTGTATGCCAGGAAAGAAGGAGACAGGTATGTTTGATGAATATGATCCCTCATAATCTCTACACTGTTCTGATTTAGGTAAATAAAAGCCTGAGTGCTGTTAGGCCACGGAACTGCAAGACATCCTCAGAATATGGCCTAAATCTGGTGTCCGTGTATTTGGCCACAGAGATTGTGTTTAAAGATTTACTGATACTAAGTGCATTGCCCCAGCACACTTTGTCTCACTAATCTCAGGCCTGCAACCACAGACATTTATCCACTTTTCTAATTTGTGCTTCATCGGTTTGTCTGTGAGGCTGTTTATGGGAGACAGTGTCAGAAGCCTTGCTAAAATCTAGACAAGCAGCAGTGATGCATCTGTGGCATTTACTAGCAATCTTTGTTGTCAAATACAAGTTTAGACTTTGTGGCTAGATTTTACTGCAGGTTTTGTGCAAAGTACAAAAGGAAACACTACAAGTCCAAACAAATTTAAAAACTGTTTACAAATGCAAAGCAAGCTTGTGCATTTTCTTGCCTTTTACCTCTGACAGTTAGAACTCCTTAAACACATAAAAGACCTATGTATTATTCTTTGGTTTATTACAGGCCTGATTCTTGTGGTTTTGAACATGTTTTTGTGGGAGAAACAAGGCGTGGTAAACAGATCTTAGGTTTGCACAACTGGGTGCAATTTTACCTTCAGGAAAAGCAAAACCAAATTGACTACAAGGGATATGTCGCTCGGAAGAACAAAACCAGGGTAAGAACAAGCAAGGTGCCTTTGCAAATAAAACAAATGGATCCAGAGATAAAAGCTGTGGTGATGAATCAAGGTACAATGATGCAATTATAGGCTCAACTGCTTTGAACCTAATTTGTCCAGGTGTACATAAACAGAAGAAATGCTAGCATGCCATCACATCCAGCTCCTTTTATTTTTGCAAAAACTATTTTAAAAAGTAGTGCTGGTGTTTAAAGAATCACAACACTGCTAAAGCTTAATTGAGGTGAATGATCACGAATGCTCCAGAGGACAGGAAACAGACTGTGCTCTGGCCATAGCACCCTAGCACAGCAAGGATGACTGGATATTTCAATGCCCTCAACAATCTAGTCAGAAATTGTATCTGTCTGATCACAGCAATGATGGAGATTATTCTTGTTTTGTTTATGCTTTCAGCCTGACAAGGATGACCAAGTTTTGAGCATCCAGTTCACCTGGAAGGGCTCGGTCAAGCCAATTGGAAGCACCTTTATTGGTGTCAGCCCAGAGTTTGAATTTGCCCTTTACACCGTAATTTTCCTGCTGGCTAAAGAAAGAGTCACACGTGAAACAGTGAAGATAGAAGAGTATGAGCTACAGATTGTTGTTTACCGCCATGGACACCACATTGGAACAGCATATCCAGTACTCCTCAGCACCAGCAGTGAGGCCTAGTAGTTACAGTCATCAAACTAAGATGTCTGGTTTTTTTGGTTGTTGTTTTTTTTACAGGAGCAGAAGGCAGAGTATGTTGGTGTGTTGTTTTATAAAACCCATTCTGAGTAAAAATTCATGACTAACTCACTTTTGGTCTGCAATAGTGTGCCTTGGCTTAGTGTCTGACCAACACTGAAACTTAACTGCTGCTCTTATTAAAGACTTGCTCAAACTTACATCACCCTTCCCAGGTACATGGTAACACTATACTTCTCAGCAGATAATGGAATTTAGGAAAAGGCTATATTAAAACTGATCCACATATTTCTCAGATTTGTTATCTACTGCGTATCTGAAAGAGCAATAATCCCACATTGTTTACATTTTACCTTCCACACAGGAACTTTAGACTTATCAGAAACACACTATGTATTTGTTCTCCTATCCTCATTTCCTCATTTCATAAGGCATTCACTTCAAATGCATTCTTACAATGGCAGTGCCCTAGACACACAGGGAACATATTCAGATGTTAAAACGGACATTAGATCAACAGCAGGTTGCACTGGCTCTGCCCCAGTTTGCTGGAAACCACAGTAGGTTTATCTCACCTAACTTTAACAGCCTGTGCTAGAGGCAGCTGTCTGCCCATTACAGGCAGCAATCCCTGCAGTCATTTAGCCACTTGTGTAACCTGCTTTAGGGTCAGATACATGACCCTGCATCATCCATTGGCCAGAGCCCCAGTGAAAAGAAGAAGATGCCCCCTGGACACTGGTCCTAGTCCTGGTCACTGCAGGTGATGAAACCACACAAGAGGTATTTCAGGCATGAGACAATTCAACTGAGAGAACAGCAAGAGAGAGCAACTGCTAGGTACCAACAAACAAGTTTGCCCTTCTCTGCAGCATTGAGGGTTACTGAGGGACAACAAGAGAGTTCACACTCTGGGTGTGGTGTTTATTTGAAACCTGTAGAATCTGAGGCAGATATTGGAAATGGTGCAAAAATCACAGAGCTGTCATGTGGAATACCTGCTCCATGGGCTAGAAACCAACTCTGCAGAAGGTGAAAGGCACTGCATTTCCTTCACGTTGGGGAATGTTTCTGCAACCAAGGGCCCACAGGTCACATTACAGGCCTTTACTGCTCTTCATCTTCGCAGCTGTGGCAGGGCAGAACTGAGTATAGAGCTGGGCCAGCAAAGCCTGGGATGTGATCTCCAGCCTTGTCCCGTGGCTCAATTTGTTCCATACATGCACCGCATAGGTGTTAATAAGGAGCTTGTGAAGCTCTGAGGAGCTGATTGCTTCAAATAACTTCTTCCAGTCCTCCCAGTAAATAGGATAAAAGGCTTCTCGGAAAAGAGCAGTCACACCTTTGCAGCTCATGTTGTTCTGGATATTAGTGATGGAGCACCACTTCTTGAAGACACGTGTTAAGAGTGCTGGGCCCTGGTGGGCCCAAATCCAGCCTTTGTAGTTATCTACAAAATCCTGCATGCAAAGCTCTATGAACTTGTGTTTGGGTTTAAAGGACAGAAAGGCCCCGTTCAGCACATTCTCAGACTGGGTACCAAGCACGTTGGTGAGGTTCTTTAAGTTCTTAAGCACAATGAAGTCTGTGTCCAGGTAGATGCCACCAAATTTCCACATGATGGCAATTCTGCAGGCATCAGACAGGACAGGCAAGAAATAAGGTTCCCACCGGTGCTGAGCCTCCGAGTACCACTTTGCCAGAGGAGTCCCTGAGAAAAGCTCTGGCAAGTCCAGGTGACGCATTTCCACGTTGGGGAAGCAGCTCAGCAATGAGAAGCCCCAGTGGTTGGGTAAGGAGGCATTCCCGTTTGCCAAGCCTTTCATGAGCACCACAACCCTTGTCCCAGGGTGCGTCCGGGCTGCAGACTCCACAGAGCAGGTGAACAGGTAACTCGGGTTAGTTCGCTCCGAGGTCTCCACAAAAAAGATGTCCCCTGGAGAAGAAGGGGGCCCATCAGCAGTGGCACGGGGAAGGAAAGGCAAAAACTGTTCACACCTCCTTTGTGCAGTCAAATGGTAGAGCTGACCCTCAGCATCCTCCCCGGTTCTCCAGCAGAACATGACAGAGGCAAGGAACACAAACGTAATGGTGAGGATAAAGAGAGCCCTGGGCCTGTGGGTCAGCAGCATTGTGGCCACGTTTGGCAGGCAGCTGGACATCCTGGGCAGTCTCGACCCTGTCACAGCCTGCTCTCCCAAGACAACCGTCAGGATCTGAAGGGCAGGAAAGAAAAGACATTGACAGGCAAGACAGCAGACCTCAGCAAGGCCTTAGGACAGTGCCACAGCACAACAGAACTCTCCTGACTTCACCTCAAGACAGCGTGACCTAATGTTTCAGGTCATTCCTGAAACAACCTCCTGGCTTCTCCGTATTGTCACAGGGCCTTCAGGTCCCACGTCAGATATTGCTGCCTATTTGTGGATCCCTCCCTCTCTTTCAAACACACAACAAGGACCAGTCTCTCCTTTCTGTATATCACAAACCAAGACTCTTCCTCAGGTCCATCCTCGTATATTAACCATGTCTGTTGTCCATGATACAGCACTTGGCACACAAATGGCATTCCCTCATGGTGGTGCACAACAAACTCGAGGAACAGTGTTAGAGACCCTATCTCTCATCTTCTGCAACTCCAGGTCATTCTGGACATGAGACCCATTTGCAAAAATCCTTAGGAAGAGGAGACAGGAGTGCTGCTTATGAACTCTCCTGGAGTTCCATCAACAGACATTTTGGGAACTGCTGTCCTGATGAGGTTTACTCTTCCAATACAGCCTGCCCTTCCCCAAAACCAAGCACAATAACTAAAACCCCAGTGCTGTCATCATTTCCTATCAAAAGGCCTCAGTCTACCAGGATGTTGAATCAGCAGTTGCTGCCCTTCAAATCACACACTCCTACAGAAAGCCTGGCTCAGTTTTCATGGCACTTCCTGCCTAACAGAATGGGTGGATAGTGGGAGAGGAACTGATACAAAGCAGCTTTGGAGGCAGATGGAGATGATAAGAACTACCCAGGTAAAGAGTTTCAAAGTTACGTCCTAACCCCGTTCCCTTGACAAGCCCTCACTTCCTCCTCTGGAGGATGGTGCTACCTGTCCCAGCTGCCTCCAACCACGATGCACAGGACATGCTAGCTGTGACCTGCTCAGCTTTGCCAGTGCAATCATTTGGTGATGGATATGCAAACACCCCTCCGCCCTACCCTCACTGCCTTTTTCTCCTGCAGAAGGGAGGGATGGAAAGGAAGAGATTATTAACAAGGCAGGAACAAAGAGGGACGTCATTTTAGCTACATTCTCAGCCTTGGCATTTCTGCCCTTGGCTCCCCTCAAAGTGAAGGGCAGCAGAACCAGCATCTCCTGGGCCCACCACTCGGGCTCCAAAGGTCAAAGTGCAAAAGCACATGAAGAAGCAGTGAGGAGGATTGTGGCATTTACCACAGGAAGAAGTAGCCTCAAGTTGCACCAGAGGAGGTTTAGATTAGATTTTAGGGAAATTTTATTCACCGAAAGGGTTGTCAAGCATTGGAAGAGGCTGCCCAAGGAAGTAGTTGAGTCACCATCCCTGAAGGTATTTTAAAAATGTGTAGTTTAGCACTTAAGGGTAGGGCTCAATGCTGGACGTGGCAGTGTTAGGTTTAGAGTTGGGCTTGATGATCTTAAAGGCCTTTTCCATCCTAAGTGATTCTATTACTTCTCCTGGCTCCCTCTGTTCTGTTGTTTCATCTCCAAATCCCCATGCTCCACAGCAGCCAGCTTCAGGGAAGAACAGAAGCTTTAATCAAACCGCGGCGGCCAGACAGACAGAGAACAGGACAGATCCCCCCTGGAACAATCCCATTTGTCATTCATCCTGGGTTACTGCAACTGGGTCACACACTAAACTCTCCATGTAGCCAGAAAATGACTTGTCAGCCACAATGGCAAGTTTCCAAATGCAACAACTTGGAGATACCACTCTCCACTAGGCACTGGGGCTTGGGGCAACCAATATTCAAATCATCATCTCCAGATTCTCAGAACATTTTCTTCTGCAGAGAAATGCCAAGGTGTGTCTTGGGTGTTACAGGCAGCAAAAAAAAAACCATACCCTTTTGTTTCACATACCTATTTCTTCCTTCCTTCCTCATACCACAGACAGTTGAATCCTGCAAATAATTTTTGGCTTGTTAAGCTGTGAAAGAGGAAGCAGGTACAGCCTGATGGGGACAATAGAGAAGGCAGGAACCTGCGGCTACAATCTAACAGCGAGCGAATGTCCAGCCTACCTGCATATTTTTAGTAAGAGGAGGAACTTCCACTGCAATCCTACTTCTGTGCAGTTCGAAATACAGCTCTGCTTTTGTAGCACGTAGGAGGGCTCTTTAAGTGCTTGTTTTAGCGCTAAACAAACACAGGAAATCTCGAGCACTGCCTTCCTGTGATACTCCAAGCCCTATTCCCCAGTAAATGCAACGATTACTCACCTATCCCTGCCTTTAAGTCACCACGAAAGTCACAGCTCAGCTAGAGAGGATTTCCATGAGGTTAGTGTCTCTGAGAGTGCGTGCACCTCCATGGCCTGGTACTTCCTTTTTCTGAAATGAAACGAAGCGGCAAAAGGCAGAGTCGGAACACATCGAGAAATGAGCAGATCACAGAGTATGTGACATCAGGCCTTCAGCTCGTGCATTGGCTGATAGAAAGGCCAGGCAGCTGTGTTCCATCTCGTTAGAAACGAATGAGCAAAAATAAAAGAAAGAGAAGGAAGTTGAAACCCCTTTATCACATTCTGTTTTCTACTGCGGCAGGAAACTTCTTCTCTTTCCTGCTCCTTTGCTAAGAGCTAATGCCCAGGGCTCGCACTGCTTGGGTGACTGCCGTGACTACTCAGCTGAGAGTGTCATGGAGCTGCCTCCACTCACCCCAAGACTTCATTCCTGAATCAACACACACTCTTTTCACCAATGAATATACCCATACATTTGGGAATACTCCCTTCTATGCCAGATTTGTCATGGAATGACTTTGCCAAAATCGGGTAAGAGTTACCCCTGCACCCAATGGAGGCCAACCTTGTGTTGCCCTCAACAGAAGAGGGACTTGGAGCTGCTGGAACAAGTCCAGGGAAGGGCCACAAAAATGATTAGAGGGAAGGAGCACCTCTCCCACAAAGACAGGCTGAGAGAGTTGGGTTTGTCCAGCCTAGAGAGGAGAAGACTCCAGGAAGACCTTAGAGCCACCTTCCAGCTCCTACAGGAAAGCTGGGAAGGGACTGTTTACAAGGGTGTGTACTGATAGGACAAGGGGCAATGGTCTTAGTTGACATGATCTAGTCAAAAAGGTCCCTGTGCACTGCAGGGTGGGGCTGGACTAGATGACCTTTAAAGGCCCCTTCCAACCCCACACATGCCATGATTCTACGATTCCCTTACCCATTGACACATTAACAAAACACCACCCTTATCCCTGCAGCCACTAAGTTTAGGCCTTGATGCAGGTTCTACTCTGTTTCCTCAATAAATGTTAGGCGTTTTGCTCTGTAGCTTCCCAGGCCCCTCTCCCCTCCCCAGGTCCTTCCAGCACTGCAACACCACAGACAGACCCAGAAAAAGGATGCAGACACTGGGGAAGCTCTTTGGAAAGCACCTTAAGCAACTCCCTGCCCTCCCATTGCTGGAGCTCTCCAGGCCTCAGGTCAGGCCCCATCTAGTCACAGAATCACAGAAGGGTTGGAGTGGGAAGGCATTTCTGGAGATCATTCGTCAAATGCCTCTGCTCAAACTAGAGCCACCCAGGCTTTATCTCACCTAACTTTAACAGCCTGTGCCAGAGGCAGCTGTCTGCCCATTACAGGCAGCAATGCCTGCAGTCAATTAGCCACTTGTGTAATCTGCCTTAGGGTCAGATACATGACCCTGCATCATCCATTGGCCAAAGCCCCAGTGAAAAAAAGAAGATGTCCCCAGGACACTGGTCCTTTTGCTGATGTGGACATGTCAGCCCTGTCAGCGTGTTCAGTACTCCAACAAAAGGAAGGTCTTGCTTTTCCTTCTCATTCCAATGTAGAAACAGGCAGATGCTGAGGCCCTTCTGAGAATGTGACAAGGACTGGTTAGAAATTCACATGCCACAAGAATTTCTCCAACAAAGAAATTTACTCGCACCAGGAAAAGGACTCCTTTGTGCTATTTGTTTTCCCAAAGACAACCAGAAAAGTTTGCCCGTCGCAGTGGGATGAAAAACAGCAGAACATAAATTACCTTTGCAAAACAAGAAAACCTTTACACTGAGCCATGCAGGGATTTAAACAGTTGTCTGTTTCTTACACCGATTTTCCTGTACTCCCCATAGCTTCACCAACCATAAGAATCTATACCATGCAGGGAATTTGGCCCTACGCTTCTCTAAACCGTATCTTATAGCACTACATGGGATATCTTTACATATTTAGAGATGTTACAGAGAGCAAGCCAAGGGTTCCTGAAGCTGATGAAACCACACAAGAGGTATTTCAGGCATGAGACAATTCAACTGAGAGAACAGCAAGAGAGAGCAACTGCTAGGTACCAACAAACAAGTTTGCCCTTCTCTGCAGCATCGAGGGCTACTGAGGGACAGCAAGAGAGTTCACACTCTGGGTCTGGTGTTTATTTGAAACCTGTAGAATCTGAGGCAGATATTGGAAATGGTGCAAAAATCACAGAGCTGTCATGTGGAATACCTGCTCCATGGGCTAGAAACCAACTCTGCAGAAGGTGAAAGGCACTGCATTTCCTTCACGTTGGGGAATGTTTCTGCAACCAAGGGCCCACAGGTCACATTACAGGCCTTTACTGCTCTTCATCTTCGCAGCTGTGGCAGGGCAGAACTGAGTATAGAGCTGAGCCAGCAAAGCCTGGGATGTGATCTCCAGCCTTGTCCCGTGGCTCAATTTGTTCCATACATGCACCGCATAGGTGTTAATAAGGAGCTTGTGAAGCTCTGAGGAGCTGATTGCTTCAAATAACTTCTTCCAGTCCTCCCAGTAAATAGGATAAAAGGCTTCTCGGAAAAGAGCAGTCACACCTTTGCAGCTCATGTTGTTCTGGATATTAGTGATGGAGCACCACTTCTTGAAGACACGTGTTAAGAGTGCTGGGCCCTGGTGGGCCCAAATCCAGCCTTTGTAGTTATCTACAAAATCCTGCATGCAAAGCTCTATGAACTTGTGTTTGGGTTTGAAGGACAGAAAGGCCCCGTTCAGCACATTCTCAGACTCAATACCAAGCACGTTGCTGAGGTTCTTTAAGTTCTTAAGCACAATGAAGTCTGTGTCCAGGTAGATGCCACCAAATTTCCACATGATGGCAATTCTGCAGGCATCAGACAGGACAGGCAAGAAATAAGGTTCCCACCGGTGCTGAGCCTCCGAGTACCACTTTGCCAGAGGAGTCCCTGAGAAAAGCTCTGGCAAGTCCAGGTGACGCATTTCCACGTTGGGGAAGCAGCTCAGCAATGAGAAGCCCCAGTGGTTGGGTAAGGAGGCATTCCCGTTTGCCAAGCCTTTCATGAGCACCACAACCCTTGTCCCAGGGTGCGTCCGGGCTGCAGACTCCACAGAGCAGGTGAACAGGTAACTCGGGTTAGTTCGCTCCGAGGTCTCCACAAAAAAGATGTCCCCTGGAGAAGAAGGGGGCCCATCAGCAGTGGCACGGGGAAGGAAAGGCAAAAACTGTTCACACCTCCTTTGTGCAGTCAAATGGTAGAGCTGACCCTCAGCATCCTCCCCGGTTCTCCAGCAGAACATGACAGAGGCAAGGAACACAAACGTAATGGTGAGGATAAAGAGAGCCCTGGGCCTGTGGGTCAGCAGCATTGTGGCCACGTTTGGCAGGCAGCTGGACATCCTGGGCAGTCTCGACCCTGTCACAGCCTGCTCTCCCAAGACAACCGTCAGGATCTGAAGGGCAGGAAAGAAAAGACATTGACAGGCAAGACAGCAGACCTCAGCAAGGCCTTAGGACAGTGCCACAGCACAACAGAACTCTCCTGACTTCACCTCAAGACAGCGTGACCTAATGTTTCAGGTCATTCCTGAAACAACCTCCTGGCTTCTCCGTATTGTCACAGGGCCTTCAGGTCCCACGTCAGATATTGCTGCCTATTTGTGGATCCCTCCCTCTCTTTCAAACACACAACAAGGACCAGTCTCTCCTTTCTGTATATCACAAACCAAGACTCTTCCTCAGGTCCATCCTCGTATATTAACCATGTCTGTTGTCCATGATACAGCACTTGGCACACAAATGGCATTCCCTCATGGTGGTGCACAACAAACTCGAGGAACAGTGTTAGAGACCCTATCTCTCATCTTCTGCAACTCCAGGTCATTCTGGACATGAGACCCATTTGCAAAAATCCTTAGGAAGAGGAGACAGGAGTGCTGCTTATGAACTCTCCTGGAGTTCCATCAACAGACATTTTGGGAACTGCTGTCCTGATGAGGTTTACTCTTCCAATACAGCCTGCCCTTCCCCAAAACCAAGCACAATAACTAAAACCCCAGTGCTGTCATCATTTCCTATCAAAAGGCCTCAGTCTACCAGGATGTTGAATCAGCAGTTGCTGCCCTTCAAATCACACACTCCTACAGAAAGCCTGGCTCAGTTTTCATGGCACTTCCTGCCTAACAGAATGGGTGGATAGTGGGAGAGGAACTGATACAAAGCAGCTTTGGAGGCAGATGGAGATGATAAGAACTACCCAGGTAAAGAGTTTCAAAGTTACGTCCTAACCCCGTTCCCTTGACAAGCCCTCACTTCCTCCTCTGGAGGATGGTGCTACCTGTCCCAGCTGCCTCCAACCACGATGCACAGGACATGCTAGCTGTGACCTGCTCAGCTTTGCCAGTGCAATCATTTGGTGATGGATATGCAAACACCCCTCCGCCCTACCCTCACTGCCTTTTTCTCCTGCAGAAGGGAGGGATGGAAAGGAAGAGATTATTAACAAGGCAGGAACAAAGAGGGACGTCATTTTAGCTACATTCTCAGCCTTGGCATTTCTGCCCTTGGCTCCCCTCAAAGTGAAGGGCAGCAGAACCAGCATCTCCTGGGCCCACCACTCGGGCTCCAAAGGTCAAAGTGCAAAAGCACATGAAGAAGCAGTGAGGAGGATTGTGGCATTTACCACAGGAAGAAGTAGCCTCAAGTTGCACCAGAGGAGGTTTAGATTAGATTTTAGGGAAATTTTATTCACCGAAAGGGTTGTCAAGCATTGGAAGAGGCTGCCCAAGGAAGTAGTTGAGTCACCATCCCTGAAGGTATTTTAAAAATGTGTAGTTTAGCACTTAAGGGTAGGGCTCAATGCTGGACGTGGCAGTGTTAGGTTTAGAGTTGGGCTTGATGATCTTAAAGGCCTTTTCCATCCTAAGTGATTCTATTACTTCTCCTGGCTCCCTCTGTTCTGTTGTTTCATCTCCAAATCCCCATGCTCCACAGCAGCCAGCTTCAGGGAAGAACAGAAGCTTTAATCAAACCGCGGCGGCCAGACAGACAGAGAACAGGACAGATCCCCCCTGGAACAATCCCATTTGTCATTCATCCTGGGTTACTGCAACTGGGTCACACACTAAACTCTCCATGTAGCCAGAAAATGACTTGTCAGCCACAATGGCAAGTTTCCAAATGCAACAACTTGGAGATACCACTCTCCACTAGGCACTGGGGCTTGGGGCAACCAATATTCAAATCATCATCTCCAGATTCTCAGAACATTTTCTTCTGCAGAGAAATGCCAAGGTGTGTCTTGGGTGTTACAGGCAGCAAAAAAAAAACCATACCCTTTTGTTTCACATACCTATTTCTTCCTTCCTTCCTCATACCACAGACAGTTGAATCCTGCAAATAATTTTTGGCTTGTTAAGCTGTGAAAGAGGAAGCAGGTACAGCCTGATGGGGACAATAGAGAAGGCAGGAACCTGCGGCTACAATCTAACAGCGAGCGAATGTCCAGCCTACCTGCATATTTTTAGTAAGAGGAGGAACTTCCACTGCAATCCTACTTCTGTGCAGTTCGAAATACAGCTCTGCTTTTGTAGCACGTAGGAGGGCTCTTTAAGTGCTTGTTTTAGCGCTAAACAAACACAGGAAATCTCGAGCACTGCCTTCCTGTGATACTCCAAGCCCTATTCCCCAGTAAATGCAACGATTACTCACCTATCCCTGCCTTTAAGTCACCACGAAAGTCACAGCTCAGCTAGAGAGGATTTCCATGAGGTTAGTGTCTCTGAGAGTGCGTGCACCTCCATGGCCTGGTACTTCCTTTTTCTGAAATGAAACGAAGCGGCAAAAGGCAGAGTCGGAACACATCGAGAAATGAGCAGATCACAGAGTATGTGACATCAGGCCTTCAGCTCGTGCATTGGCTGATAGAAAGGCCAGGCAGCTGTGTTCCATCTCGTTAGAAACGAATGAGCAAAAATAAAAGAAAGAGAAGGAAGTTGAAACCCCTTTATCACATTCTGTTTTCTACTGCGGCAGGAAACTTCTTCTCTTTCCTGCTCCTTTGCTAAGAGCTAATGCCCAGGGCTCGCACTGCTTGGGTGACTGCCGTGACTACTCAGCTGAGAGTGTCACAGAGCTGCTGTTCCTTCTCCTTCCAATGTAGAAACAGGCAGATGCTGAGGCCCTTCTGAGAATGTGACAAGGACTTTCTAGAAACTCACATGCCACAAGAATTTCTTCAACAGAGAAAGAAACCTGCTAATGCAGATTTTCTGGCAATACATGATTTGTAAAATACTGCATATCATTTTCACAATCTTGCTTCCTAAATTCAAAAGCCAAACTAACCAATTCAATTCGGGATATATGCAAGTTTTTTTTTCAAAAAAAGAAAAAAACAAAGCAGCAAAACAAACCAGACAAAAGAACTAGCCCAAACAAAACTTCTAAAATGCAGAGAAACAACTTACTGCATAAGGTAAAGGATGGCATTTGTATGATAACAGGTTTCCCTTGTTTCAAGCACAAAAAGCATAAAACATGGCGCAGAGGGAATAGACATGGAAGATCTTGTAACTCTGCCGTGGAAGGACTTCAAACGACCTGATGCTGCTGGATCAGCACATGCTCAAATCTACTCCTGGTGCCTCTAAGGGGTACCAGAGCACCTTGCAGTGAGCGAACGGGTTTCCTGCCCTCCATAACTGCAAACGTGCTTCACCGGTATTTTCCTTGGTAGCAAAACAAGCATCACCAGAAGTCCCTGAAACCTGGCGAATAATAGGACAAGATGTACACTGTTGAGTGTTACTGTTATAGAACATCATCAGATCTTAGTGCTGGTTCAAGTACTGATAATAAATGGCAAGAAATAAACTGCAGAAAATCATTAAGCACATGTGTTTAGCAATGTCAGAGAACGAAACGTTACATTCTCAGTTTGGATGGAAAGCAATTAGAATTGCTCTTACATAATTACATTAGAACAGTATAATTATTACTTCTGCAGAAGGTTTCAAACCTCCAGGCCTAAACCTTAGTGTAACCAGTATACACAACTGCCTTAGCCAGAGGGGATCAGAAGTTTACAGGAAAACCATGGCTGTGTATATTCCAGAAATGCAAACATTGTTTGCAAAGTAGAACGTAAGCAAAGGATGTACATAAGGAGTTCCTTGCTTTTGTCTTCCTTCTGTGATTTAATTAATACATCCTATGCCTAGGCAACTAGCAGATTTAACCTCCAAAGCTAGACAGACCTGCAAATAAGCAGAAAATATATGAGAGAAGGTGCGAAGGGATGAGGTAGCTATTAGGAAACGTGCCTGTTGACTACAATGGGAAAAGAGGGTGAACAGCAAGTAACAGAAATACAGCCACAGACTAAGGATTCTGTTTTGCCTAAAATATTTCAAGAATAAAATTGGAAAAGAAAAGCCAAATGATCCTTGATAGCATCACCTGCCCAAAGGGATCAGAAAGTGTGATCACTTGGGTTCCTATGACTTTGACTGTCCAAGTTCATGCTTGCTAGTAAATACTGTCTTTTTCTTGATGAACAGGCTGCTCTCTCCTGAGCTGGCCTGCCTGTAGAGTATAGAGTACAGAGAAGCAACAAACCCAGCTCCTAGGCTGTGGGGAGGAGAGAAGCTGAACTGCTGAGCAGGCAGCTGGTGAGGCTGGAGAAAACAAGAATAAGAGTGAAAATAAGTCAAATAAGAATGTAAATATTTGATCAATTCACAGTCCTTCCAACAAGAGGACCCCTGGGCAAACTGGAATTGTGATTGAGTGCTTGCACAGTGCAGAAAGAGGAACTACAACCCATTGTGTTCAGCTGACGTAACCCCAAGCAGAGGGAGAAACTCTTCCTTCTGGTTTTGTGAGCCCTTTGAACCAGTCTTGAAAGGAAAATAACCAGTGCCCAACCTGTGAGCCTACCCACATGTAGTGCACACTCCTAGGGTCGTTGGGAGGGAGACCCAAACCTCGTGGCATCCACCTGATAGATGAGGTGGATTATCTGTTCTCAAATCCTTCTCACTGCCCCTCCTTTTTGTGCATTCCTTGTGTTGGCTTCTTGGTCCCTGCATTTCCTCAATCTCCCCCACCAGTGACAGAAAACACAAGGTGGCTTTCTCATTCATCCCTGAAGAAGGGAACATGGGAAAGAAATATAACCTATATCTACCTCTATTATTAACTAAACCAGACTGAGAATCTGGTACAGCTGAGATTGGGCAGAATATGGCAGTAACATCCAAATCTGGCTTCACAGGCTATATGAAAATTCGCTCTGGTGTACCTTCCCTTCTCTCTTTGTCTTTCATTGCTTGTCTTTCTTGCATTATTTTAGAACAACTTCAGCTACCTTATGCCATTAAAGTAATCAAAAAGCTATGTTTGTGGTACATAAAAGTAGAAACATGGCAACATAGCTCTGATCACT